TGGATTTGGACCCTTACTGTACTCGACCGAACGCTGTGGCTCCAGCGTCCGGTCAGTTTTACCAGAGCGTCTGGTCAGCTTCGCGACCATTGAAATCTGACGAACAACATTTGAAGCAGGGGACACGTGGCGTGAATCACGTGACCGGACGCTGAGGGCCAGCGTCCGGTCAATCGGACCGGAGCGTCCGGTCACCCCGTGTTGTGCCCAGTGAAGGGGTACAACGGCTCTATTTCACTGGGGCTCTATTTATAGCCCCATGGCCGGCTCAAGGGAGCTCTCTTGCACATTTTCATTTGACATAGCAACCTTGTGAGCTTAGCCAAAGCCCTCCCACTCATCTACATCATTGATTCATCATCATAGTGAGATTGGGAGTGAATCCAAGTGCATTGCTTGAGTGATTGCATCTAGAGGCACTTGGTGATTGTGTTTCGCTGCGGATTTCGCTTGTTACTCTTGGTGGTTGCCGCCACCTAGACGGCTTGGAGCAGCAAGGATCGTTGAGTGGAGGAGGTGATTGTCTCCGACTCCGATCGTGGTGATTGTGAGGGGTTCTTGACCTTTCCTCGGCGGAGAGCCAAAAGGTACTCTAGTAAATTGCTTGTGGCTTGTGTGATCCTCATCTTGTGTTGGTTGTGCGGCACCCTATTGAGGGTTTGGCGAGTGATGCCAATCAGCGCGTGAACCTCCAAGTGAGTGAATCGTCACAACGAGAACTAGCTTGTCGGCAAGCAAGTGAACCTCGGTAAAAATCATTGTGTTCATCATTTGATTCCGAGGTGATTGGTATACATTGGTATTCATTATTGTGATTGATTGGTTCCTACCACTACACGGCGGTATAACTCTCTTGCTCACTCTTACATTACCGCAAACTAGTTATCAAGCTCTTTAGTGTAGCTAGTTGTGAGAGCTTGCTTGTTTGATTAGTGTTGCTCTTTAGTTAGTCTTTGAGAGCACACTAATTTAGCTAAGTGTCATAGCTATTGTGTGGATATACACTATTCAAAATAGAATTGTGGTAGGTGGCTTGCATCTTTGAGTAGGCTAGCGCAACACTCGCTTCGCCGCAAAATTGTCTAACACATTTTGTTAAGTGTTGTTGTAGAATTTTATTAGGCTATTCACCCCCCCTCTAGCCATTAGGACCTTTCAGTTGCTGCTTAAAATTGGTTGGTACCATTTGAGGCAGGTCCTTTTCAGTTGCTTAATGTTTTAACCAAAATGTGCCATTATTACCAACATGCATTTCCCATGCCAGATATCCCAGATGAATAATTGATTTCCATGTTCTACGTTTAAATCTAAGAAATGTTTGATTATGTATTGAAATTGTTGATATGGTTGCAATATTAATATATGCAAATACCACTCATCTCCTAAATATAAAAGCTAACTACTAGTCCTACTTCGATCACATGTCAAAGAAGACTGTGGAGCATTCCTCGCCACATGAGCTTGACATGTCGTAATTATCCAAAAGAAGCAAGATCCTACTTTGATCCTATTTCTCTCAAACGATCTGAGATATTTTGATAGTCCGATAATTATTTGAGCAGTTTACCACAAGGTCACTCAAACAAAATGATATATGTGAAATTGCATATAGACCTAATTAAAAGAAGCACCACACCGCAAAAGAGGCATATGAAAACTATGCAGATTAACACCAAAACAATTTTGGAATCAGAATGAACACAAACCAAATTGATTTGAGGTTTCATCATGTGATCGGATTATGGGGAGTTGGTACCTCGAGGCTGGCCTCGGATTTGGAGGGCGGCGGGGCCAGAGGAATCCGGACTCGGACTCGAAGGCGGGTGACGGAGGCAACCACCGTGGCCTCCCTCATGGCTGAGGCGAGGGGCAAGCAGTTGGTGGGCCACAAATCAAATCTGAGAGCTTTCTATGAACACTCAACAAATGATAAAGTAATGAGAACACGAAGGATCTTTGAGCTACGCCAAAGAAGACTACTCACTTAAAAGGCAAGCAAAAAAAAACAAAGGGAAACTAGCAGATTACTCTCTAAACAAAGGCAAAGTGACAACATGTATCACTACTTACAAGAGAGTGCATTAAGCAAGTAATAGCACAAAGGCGCCCTCTTAACAATCTACCACTATAGGTCTAACGATCAAAATCGGTGAATGGATATTGACATGCAGAGAGATCCTCCACTTTTGAATCAAACCTCGGTTCACAAACCGGGACCACTCATCTCATCTACAACGCTAGACATGGATTCATCATAAAATGAAAACTATACATAGTAGTCTAATCTACATAATGATTTATCGAAAAGAGAAAACTATACATAGTAGTCTAATCTATGTAATGAGCACGAATCAGATGCGGACATTGAGCAGAGTGCGAGATTGCGTTGATATATATGTACTTTAATTACGCATTACTCAACTCTATAAATCCAACCGCTTTTATTTTTGGTAATGGTACTACACACATTCATACTTCAGTTTTGATGATATTATTTTTTTCAGTTAGTAGGTTAGATTTCATCACGGTCATCGGAGTTGCTCACTTTGGTGCTTATTGCAAATGGGCATCACTTATTCTTTAATTGCCTTTATCTTACCTTAACATGGCTACAACCTACAAGCATTCTCATGTCAGTAAGGTGTACATCACACTGAAATTAACATAAGAGCACTTTGGTTTAGGGGATTAACTAGAGCACTTAGATGAATATAAAAGAATTGATGAAAGTACTGAATGGTTTCAGACTAGCACTTAAATTAACATAAAATCGAGTTTATTTATGTCTTTCATATCACTACACGGTCTATAACTTAGTTCATTTATATGCCTTCACTAAAACATTTTTTTAGAGGAAATGAATGGTTTTGGATAGCGAATTTGTTTGAATAAATTAGGGAATATTGTAGTTTTTCTGGAGAGGTCTAGCTTGAATAAAGCTGGTGAGGCTGAGAGGATCAGATAGGAGACTTGGTAGGTGCTCTCCAAAATGCATTGTTCAGCACGTAAAATTATGTTCTTTTAGCTATATCATGTTCCCCTCAAAATATATGATTTTCGTGATTTTGCACCCGTTGCAACACACGGGCATGATCCTAATAACAAGAAAAAAATAAAATGGATAGTGATTAATGCTACTCTACCTATTAACCAAGATAAAAGAATAATGCAGAACAGTGAACAAACTTAGAGTTGGGTATTCCATGTTAAAAAAAAGACTAATCCATAGATTCAAAATAAGGCATAAATTGTTCACATCATGCATGAAACAAACTTATATGAAGAAATTAAAAAATACTTAATCTACATGATAACAAGAAAGATATATGAACACTATTAACTACAAATCACTAGCAATTAGGAAAAATGTCTGTAAATCATAATTCAGAAATCACATTGACACATTCACATTCCAAAATCCGGTGCTTTTGGCCGAGGTCGGTGAGTCGCACACTTACAGGCGCTGGGCGTCCGGTGTCTGGCTGGTGTCTATTGTCGGTGAAGGCCCGTCTCCTCCCTCCCCGGGCCGCCCTAGTACCTAGGGCCTAGGCCCGTCCTGCCGCCATCCAGATGCGAGCAAGGGATCAGTCACCCAAGAGTCCAGGATCCCCGCCGCCGCCTGAACAAATCGGATTGGAGAAGAGAAGCGTCAGGAGGGGAGGGTAACGGGATTGGGAATTTGCCGAACTGGGAAAGGGAGCACGGAGTGTCCATGCGTGGCAAATGGTGATCCCATCGCTTTAAACTAGCAGATTGATTATCGCTATTGAGATCCAAAATAAGACAAAGATCCAAACCTCTTGCAATAAGAACTCAGGATGCCGGGAACGCGGACGATAGATAGGCGGTGCGGGGTCGCGGACGGATGGCGAGCAGGCCAGCGGTCGCTAGGGTAAGAGCAGGGCAGTGTGGGCGATGGCGAGGCAGCGCGGCGTGCGCAGGCGAGGGCGGCAAGTGCGGTGGCGGCTTTGGTGAACGTGTGGTAAGCGATGCAGGAGTGTCGGGCGTCGGGCGATGCCGCGATGCGAGGGCGAAGTCGGGACGGCGTCGGGCGCGGATCGGGGAGGGGGCGCGGCGAGTAGTGATAGGCACGTGAAATGACCAACGTACCCTTTAGGATGATAATTAATATTTTATGGAGGCAATGGGAGGCAACGCGAGGCAATTTCAAGTACTGTAAAAGGGCTCATATTTTTTTAGGCAAACAGACACGTCCCTGCTGTACTTTGTTAAAGAAAAAAGACAGGTGTACAAAAAGGTGTCAAAGAGACATATGTACTTATATGTTGTAACGGAATCTAATATATCTTACAATTAGACTTCGGATTATTATTGAACACGAGGTTGTTCTAATTCATATATACTAAGTATGGGTATTATCGTTGAGCGTGAGTTGTACTAATATATACTAAGTACGAGTGTTAAGTCTGTATCACATATAAAACACGGATGGCATGAGGGCATTTGTGAAGTAAAAATAATAATAAAAGAAGAAGATATTTCTGTTTTTAATAATATATATATATATCCTTTTCTAAAAAAATAGATATAGATATAGATACAATAAAATTGAAACTGTTGAATCCTCCTGTGTCGATTGTAAACAAAACAAGCACGAAGGTCAAAGTGAAAGACTGCCTCAGATAAGCTTGGCCCCACCATCCGAAATTTCGTACGCAGGCACTCCACCTGACCGTGTCCGACAGAGGTCCGGTCTTTGCATCGGCACAGCACGTAAACAACACACGACCGCGTCTCGATCGGAACTATCTCTCGATCGGAAGTATGGCCCCGTTCCATTTGCTAAAAAGTTACTATTTATTAATTTGTTGGGAGAGAAAAATATTATTTATTCGTCGAAGCACGACAAACGAACAGGGCCCATATACGCTGTCCATTAATTCGTCGTCCCCGCTCGATGGATTGCGCCGTGGTTGACTGACCAGACCTGTCGTGCCCACCGGCTAGCTAGCTTTAGCAGGTAGTAGCCAGTAGCCACCATGCGCGCCTGCCTCCTCCTCCTCCTCGTCTCTGTCGTCGCGCTGTCGCTGCTCCGCCCGGCGCGATGCCAGCCACCGGGCGTCATCGACCGCGCGCCGCCGCCGATCGCGCAGGTGATCGAGGGCGCGCCGCCGCTGCCGGTCGTGCAGCCGCAGGACCTCCAGAAGGAGCTCCAGCCCGTCAGCGACAAGCTCACCGCCGAGCTGCAGAGGAAGTACGGCTTCTGCATGGCTGACGCGTACGTTTCCTAGTTCCCGTTTCCTTCCTAGTTCCATGCCATGTACGGATCAATCTGTGAGTGAGTGAGTCGGTTGGTCCATGGAAATTGATTTGGAGGTTGCTGCCGTGCCGCTCCATGGGTCTGCAGGCAAAGTGATTTCAACCAGACGTTCGACTACACCTCCGACCCGAGCTTCGCCTCCGACTGCATGGAGCAGACCAGAGGTACAAACATTGACCTAGTTACAGCAGGGTATAGTATAATCAGTTTGTGTAGTTTATTTGAATTATCGGGCGAGGGGTGTATATACCTCGGTTTGAGAGTTTTAGGATCCATTCATTCATATGGTCCAAGTTCTCACCCAAATTAATTAAAAAGAACTCCATGTTTCAAACTCTTCACACAAATGGTTGTAGCTATATATGGTATGAGAAATCCCATTTGGAGTGTTGGCACCTTGCAATATATATGGCGAACATTTTTTTTCATTTAAGGACACATGTGCCCCGTGTTGGATGTGTTTGGAAATGTGCGTATAATGGCCATGTTCGCTTGAGCTTATTCAGAACTACTTTTAGTATTTTTCTCTCACAACATTTCAGTATAAGCATCAGCATAAGCCAAATTTCAGCATCAGCGAATAGGGTAAATGATAGTAGAATTGTAGAAGAGAACAACAGTACAATAATAAACTGAAATGGTGAAACTTAATTTAAATTAACTCCATGTTTGAAACTCTTCACACAAATGGTCATAGCTATATGGTAGAAATCCTATTTGGGGTGAGCCATTGTCAAAATTGGAATTCCAAATGTATTTCAGTTAGCAAAGCATAAAAACCTCAGCTGCGCCTTTTCGAATCACTGCCAAGTGGGACCAGCTTTACAGGGACACCGTAATGACGCCTCCGCCTCCTCTCGCCGCCCCACCCGAGGGCGCCGCCTTAGAGGCGCGGCCACCGCCGCCCGTCCGTTCTCCAGCCGCACCGTGCGGAGCCCGTGGTCGAGACTAGGGGCATGACGGAGGGTTCTCGCATGCTGCGGTTTGCTCGAACCCAACTACCGATCCCCTCCCCTTCTTTCTTAGGAGCAGGGCTGGGGTTAACGCCAGCGCAATCGGCCGCTTTGCTAAGTTGTTCCTGTTGTGAATGGACACCTGAGTGTCCAATCGGGAGTTTGTATATGCACCAGCTATTTGGGATTCGTAGAAGAGGAACTCCCACTGCGAATGCTTGAGGGGTTTGCACTTTGCAGGATTTGTTCATCTTCATTTGGCGGTAGAAACTTGCAGGGGATTAGGTGCTCAGCAAAAGTATGTGATTGGTTTCGGATTTTTTGTTTATGCTGAATTGCTGATGAGCAGGAAGACACCAATACTCAGCTGTCATTAAAAATGCTGATAGAAGATTCTACCCTCTTCCAACTAGTACTACCGTTTGCTTTCTTTCACTACTCCCTCCAATCCAAGTTATATTTCACTTTGGCTTTTTTCTAAGTCGAACTTCTCTAACTAACTATGTTTATAGAAAAAATGCACCGATGTTTATAACATTCAAACTAGTTCCATTTTATTCTCCAGCTAGTGAATTCTCTACGCATTTACTTGCGTCAATATACTTTTCTAAAAAGTTGGTCAATGCTAGAGATTTGACTTAGGACAAAGCTAAAGTGAACTATAATTTGGAATGTAGAGAGTATTATAGAACATGCCTAATATTTAATGAAGTAGTGCATATTTTCATTACAGCCTGAATTGAGCTACTGTCCTGTCCGTTAGGATTCTTAAAGCAGGTGTTCATGAATATTTCATAAAAACGGTTATCTGTGCAGGGCAAATGACCGCAATGCTGTGTGGGAGGGCTGAAATAGAGTTATACATCAAAAGCTTGGCTGACGCTAGCAGTCGCAGTAACCCCAGGATAAGTCTGAACTGCAACCAAAACTCATGGGCACTCAGGTGCCAGCCCGGCTGGGCTTGCATGTTATCGGCCACTGAACCATCTGATGATGAATTGGTTCCACTAAGAGCAGAGAGCTGCAGGCCATGTTGTCCGGGTTTCTTCTGCCCCCGGGGCCTGACATGCATGATGCGTAAGTTTTCTTTGAACAAACCCAGCCAAGCATACTGGATTCTATTTGCATAAAACCAATGGTATTATATTGTGGGAGGCCCTATTAATTCGAACATTGTTCAAATTCTCTTGAGGAAAGTTCTAATATGCAAAAAGTAAATCCTTTGTTTGTTTTAAACTTTTGATGCATTAAGGCGATGTATTCACAACAAATGAGGAAAACATTTTAGTTGAGACTATATCTGATATTTTTTTCCTGAACTTGTTCTATCTCAAGATTATGCTTCGCTCTATAATTAATCACCACTCTATTTTTTGGCATTCATGGTTGTTTCTGCTTACCTGCTTTGAATTCACTCTCAACTTTTTTCCAGCTTGTCCTTTGGGTGCTTATTGTCCTCTTGGGACATTGAATGACACTACTGGCCTTTGTGATCCGTAAGATGATTTTTCATTTCCAACACTTTATTTGCCATTTAATATTCTTCATAATTTTTGCTCAGCACTTGACTACTTGACTTTTCTTTTCCTTCTGAAACTTTACCAGGTATTTTTACCAAGTAACTCCAGGAAAGAACACTGCATGTGGTACAGCAGATTCTTGGGCTGATATTGTTACAACTAATGATGTCTTCTGCCCTCCAGGGCACTACTGTCCAACCACAACCCAGAAATACAATTGCAGCAGCGGGTACTGTCTCTTTCTTACATGCCATTATCCATAATTATGGTGATATTTTGTTCTGTTGCTAATTGTTATTTGTCACTTTGTATTGTGCAGGCACTATTGCCGCAAAGGTTCCACCGATGAAAAGAGTATGCATATCTTCTTCTTTTTTACAATTTTCATTTAGAAGCAACAGTTTAGAACTATTACTTGCCTAGTACACTTCCTTTTGTTTCAACGTATGATCCATCAAGTTTTGTTTATGATTCCAACACAAATATTTCTTCTAGAGCAGAAATCCTAACCAGCGGTTTGCGGTGGCTGCTAAGTGCAAAAGTCGTGCCAGTTTTTAGTTTTATGGTTTAAACTACCTGCTTTTGATTAAATGTTGCATAGTCCAGATGTCTGTCCTGTCAAAGACTCGATGTGATAGGAAATGGTGTTGCAATACTTTGTCCAAACTGTAGGGATTTACAGTTTTCATTATTTAATCTATTGAATGTGTTTAGGATCTTTAGTAATGGCACATATATTTGCAGAGTGCTTTTGGAAAAACACTTGCAAGGATAATGCGATAAAAGAAGATTTGACTTTATATGGCATTATATTAATTGTAAGTAGCATGTCTGTCCACGTTGTCTTCCCTTTTTTTGTCTTTAAGTGCTGTATTTTTTTTCTGAGACTTCCAAATTGATATATGCACCCACAACTCCAATGGAGTATACAAAAGTGATGCTTTAAATCTTATACTCTTACTGGAATACTGTTTCAGCCAACCTCATCATGGGATTAAAAGTGTTGTTATTCTATACTGTAGCCATAATTTGACTTTACATATAAAATGTATATCAATTTTATTTCCAAAACATCTTGTCATACTTAGAAATATTTTCTTAGCAATATTCTGTTACTGGTACATCACTAACTCGTACTCATGTGATGCACAAAAATATTTTTTTGTTAGACTTGGGATTAATGCCCAAGAATCACAACATTACAAGTATTCTTGCCTTACTGAGGAACATTTTCTAGCAACATTTTATTGCATATAAACTAATACTCTTTGATCCATAAAACTATAAAAGTATTATCTAGTTGGAAATTAATGGCTAATGCGTCACCAATATTATTCTAATTTCACTTGAAAATAGGATTTATGAATTATTCTCATTGTAATGCTTGGATATGTAATATATCTTTGTCACAGATTTCTCTTAATTGTTGCCAAGGATGTTTCATTTAATTATGTTTTTTCTAATAATACTCCTTTTGTACTTCTGTTATTCTTTGCAGGCTATCTTGGGCTTTGTTTTGCTACTGGTGTACAACTGCTCTGGCCTATTCATTTTACTTCAAGTAAAAATGTCATCTAGATCTCGTAAAAAGGCTGCAAAAAGGGCAGATAAATCAGCCGCAGCACGTGAAAGATGGAAATTAGCAAAAGAACTTGTACTACGGCATGAGGTAAGAAATGCCTGAATCTTTCAATACACCTGAGTAATCGGCTTCATCATCCACTGGAGTTCTAAATGGCACTGAAGCTAATGCTAACAGATCCAAAAAACATGAAAATCTAACTCAGGTTCCCACTGAAAGGTTCGGGCATGCATATAATCAGGCAGACACGGATGGAGCTACGAAGATAAACAATGATAAATTAACATTCTCTGGAGTGGTGTCTCTAGCTACTGAAATTAGGCCACGAAGGCCAACACTTGAAGTGGCTTTCAGAGGTCTAACACTATCTATTGGAAAAAAGAAACTTCTGCAATGTGTTACAGGAAAACTTTCACCAGGTAGGGTAACAGCTATCATGGGCCCTTCTGGAGCAGGAAAGACTACTTTTCTCAATGCTGTATTAGGTAAAACGTCTGGGTACAAGAAGGATGGGATAGTCCTTATAAATGGGTTACCTGGATTAATGCGGTCATATAAGAAGATCATTGGTTTTGTGCCTCAAGACGATATTGTCCATGGGAATCTGACTGTTGAGGAAAATCTGTGGTTTAGTTCATGTTGCAGGTATTTGATAGAAAACACAAAGTTTAATTGCTTTCTGAGTCTATTCCTTTTCTGTTCCACTAATCTGTTTTAGTACAACCTTTATCAAATAACTTATTACTATTACCTTTGGCAGTGCCAAGAAGTACAACTAGTTTTAATTAATTTTTTCCTGTAAGGGAGTTTCTAACTTGCAATGTTCTTAATGAAAAACCGCCTAGTTCATCCTAGGTTGGATCTTGTTTTTTTTTGACTTGCAATGTTCATTTTTTAAACTTGCCATAAGAAACAATGAAATAGCATTTCAAGGCTTATCAACAGAGAGGACCTGATGTGCATGCTGTAATAATATTGTTTCTCATGGTTGATCCATGCCACATGTTAGACACAATATTCATTTGTTTTAGATATATCATAATTTGTTTTTTGAAAAAGGTTTATGATCAGTATTTAAATTTCATATCCTGTCTTTAGATGCATAAAGTAGTCATGCTACATAGCTCTAAGCTTGAATCGATTACTACCTCCACCAGATATAGTTGATGTTTCCGACAGCACATTTTAACTAATTGCAGGTCAAATTAGCTGTCCAAAATGTCATCTAATTCTGACCCGAGCAAGTATGTGCCTATGTGATGACTTGAATAGCCTTATGTGTTTGCTATGTCAGTATAAAAGAAATGCCATGTAGTTGATCTCTCTTGGAGCAGGACGTCTGTACCTGCATCAGGGGTCTCTCTTGGAGCAGGCTTTGCCTCTCCTTTGTACTTCTTTCTCTCTTAATTAAATGACACACGGCTCTGCGTCATTCAAGGAAAAAAAATGCAATGTAGTTGATCCCAGTAAACCTTTCCATATATATTGTTTTGTATCTTCATAAAGTAAATCATTTATTATAACAATCAGTATTATTTTGTGGAATAGGTTAAGCAAAGGCATGTCAAGATCTGATAAGGTTAGGGTTCTTGAACGGGTTATTGGATCATTAGGGCTTCAAGAAATTAGAAATTCCCTTGTTGGGACAGTGGAGAAGCGGGGCATTTCCGGAGGACAAAGGAAGCGTGTTAATGTTGGGATTGAAATGGTTATGGAACCATCTCTTCTGATATTAGACGAGCCAACTACAGGCTTAGACAGTGCTTCCTCTCAGCTACTTCTAAGGGCACTTCGACATGAAGCACTTGAAGGTGTAAATGTTTGTGCAGTGGTTCACCAACCAAGGTATGTCGTAAACATTAAATCATCAATTTGTCTCCTTTCAGTATGAATTGATGTGCTCCCTATCTTCAACTAAAATTGATTCTGCTTGCATGCAAAGCTTTCCAATAAATATCTGTAACATCCATTGGTCAATGGGCCTGAAAAAAGCTTGCATTCCTTGTCTGAGATCACCTATTAGTTCGTGCTAACACCTTGTGAAAAAAAATCATCCACATACATTGTAGTGCTCAGAAAATACATGTGATCAGATACCCAAAAAGGGCTGAATTAAAAACTTAAATAATCTTTTCTTTGCTTCCTTTTGTATTTATTGACATATAAGCTTGACAATTGTTAATGTTTTACACAGCTATACTTTGTTCAACATGTTTGATGACTTTGTCCTTTTGGCAAGAGGTGGCCTTATTGCTTATCATGGACCTATATATGAAGTTGAAACGTACTTCGCAGGTCTGGGGATCATGGTGCCAGGCCGTGAGAATCCTCCAGACTATTTCATTGACATTTTAGAGGGAATAGTAAAGACAAAAATGAGGGGAAATGTCACTCCTAAACACTTGCCACTCCTTTGGATGCTACATAATGGTTATGAAGTTCCAGATGATTTGCAGAAGGACCTTGAGAATATCAATACAATTCGTGAGTTATATACTGTTCGGTCCATTAGCGAACAGTCTTCAGAAGAACAGTCAGAAAATACAGATTCTGTGCACCGTAATCTGAGTCAATCAAATGAATTACTGGAAAGGAAAACACCTGGTGTGTTTGCACAATACGGATACTATTTGGGGAGGTAAATTGTTGTCTGTGATATTTCCTGCATGTTTAGTGAATCAATCTGTGACTATACTGTCAAAATGTTTCAGGGTAGCAAAGCAACGGTTGCGTGAAGCTACACAGCAGGCCGTTGATTACCTAATATTGTGTATTGCTGGCATATGCATTGGGACAATTGCTAGAGTTCGAGATGATTCATTCGGTGTAGCTTCTTATGGATATACCATAATGGCAGTTTGTAAGTCAGAATCTTTTTTTGTTTCCAGATTAGTAAATTTACATAAACTATCAAAGGAACAAAAAAGGCTGCTTTGTTGTGAAAAAGTGGTTACGATAGACTTATGGAGATCCTATAAAATTATCAATAGCTTTTAGTAAACATAAACTAACTTCTATCACAGGTCTTAATCTTTCATGATATATTAATATCATTGTAATTATGCTTCTCTAATTTGAATTAAAATTGAAAAATATGTGTCTCCTGTTGCATCTTTGCTTGTCATATTTACTTGAGGTGGTTGGAGAGCGAAGATATTGTGGAAGTTGAATTTGTTTTCAACAAACTAATGTTATGCTTTTTGTTCAGTATAGACTAGCCAGGGTCCAAAAGTGAACTTTTTTCCCTAGCAAACAATACAACACTGAAACAGGAACTATAAGATATTTATATTTTTTTCTCGAGCACGCAGGAGAACTGTGCATCATTATATTAAGAAGAAAAAATGGGAAAGGAACCCATACAAGACACACCTACTCACCAGGATATGTATATTTCACGAGCTGATAGTGGCTATGACACTTTTAAATGCACGCTTTTCAGGATAATATGTTTATCAGATATAATACAAGCACAAGCGAAAAAAGACAAAATAATACCTTTTTTCTGTCCATGGCTGTGTATCTCTGTTCTTTCCTTTTCCAATATGTGCCTCTATTCACTCTCTTTATTAACTATAACAACTCATCAATTAGCAATAGGCAAGTCACAGCCAAACTCATGTTCATAACAGTGCACTGTCTGACAATGGGAATCCTACCATAACCCCACAAGTCTTAATTGTTAATTCAGTCACAGAAAATTTTAGCAAAGTTTATCCCTTTTTCCAATCTATTGATTATAATTACAATGGAATTTTTGTCCCCTGTAAGATGTGTTACAGTAACATTTTAGCTAATGCTAATGTGCTTATTGCAGCACTGTTATGCCAGCTTGCGTCATTGCGGTCATTTTCACCTGAAAAATTGCAATATTGGAGGGAGAGACAATCCGGCATGAGCTCTCTAGCTTACTTTCTTGCAAGAGATACTATTGATCATTTCAATACTGCCGTTAAGCCAATCATCTTTCTCTCAACATTTTATTTCTTCAACAACCCTCGGTCGACTCTTAGAGACAATTATTTGGTTTTGCTGGCCCTAATTTATTGTGTAACCGGCATAGGTTACACTTTTGCTATTTGGTTTGAGCTCGGATTAGCGCAGTTGGTAAGTAGGGCATCTTTTTTTTTGTAATTATGATATTAACTCTATAGAAGGTGGCTAATGAACTATACTGTTGCAGAGTTCTGCAATAGTACCTGTTGTGCTGGTCCTGGTGGGCACTAAACCAGACCTTCCGTGGTTTATAAGGGAATTGTGCTATCCAAAGTGGGCTCTAGAAGCATTCATCATTGCAGGAGCAAAAGAGTTAGTATTCTGTTTCTTTCATCAGCAGTCATCCTGTTATCCTGTAGTTAAAGAACTTGTTTATGGCATTGTTAATCAAATGTGTGCATAGCAGGAAAACTATTATGATCGCCTTGTTTATTCATGCACAAGAAAAAAGTCCAGAATTCTCACATTCAAGACACTACTCCATCCGTTTTTTTACATGTCGTATTAAGTTTGTCCTAAGTCAAACATTCCTAACTTTGACCATCAGTTTTAAAAAAATCCATGTAGTTTCACAACATGTGAACTGTATATTATGGAAGTATTTCTTATAGTGAATCTAAAAACATAAATCTTATGTTGTTAACCTATACAATATTTTAAAAATTTGTTGTAAAATATACAAATGTTTGACTTAGGACTTAACTAATACGACATGTAAAAAAAAAAGGAGTAGCTATGAACCACTTCATTTAGCCAAGATCTCATGTTTGCGAACTTCAGGTGTTACACAGCCTATATTTTGACTCAACTGTCATCATCATATAACCTGAAATTATTGAACTAGTTCTCAAATTGTCTTTGGTTCATTCAGTGTATGTATGTTTGTCTTTGGTGAAAAAAATTGGAGTTAGAGTTTCTCGAGAAAGAAAATTGTTAAATTACTCCCTCCATTCAAAATTATAAGACGTTTTGGCTTATCTAGATACATAGCTTTTGCTATGCACTTAGATATACACTATGTCTAAATACATAGTAAAACAATGTATATAGAAAAACCAAAACGTCTTATAATCTGGAACGAAGGGAGTGCAATATTTTTTTGAACTTCTACGATTTCCTTACTCAACCACCATTACTAAACTTGTATAAGCAATGTCAAGCTTTCCCATCTTTTGCCTAACGCAGTTTTGTCTTCAGGTATTCAGGTGTGTGGCTGATCACTAGATGTGGAGCATTGCTCCAAGGAGGCTATGATATCAACGAATTTAATCTTTGCATCACCATTATTATGCTCCACGGTGTGCTCTTCCGGCTTGTTGCGTTTCTTAGTATGTTAAAGTTGAAATAGATGTAAGTGTACATACGGTTTTTTTTCTTTCACTTCACATGTTATTGCTCCCTCAATTCCAAATTATAAGACGTTTAGGCTTTTCTAGATATATTACTTTTATTATATATTTATTTAGACATAGTATATATTTAAGTGTATAATAACACCAATGTATTTAGAAAAGCCAAAACGTTTTATAATTTAAAATAGAGGGAATATTACATATTTTTATGATAAATTTTCATGATCGAAATATGTGCGCTGTGCAGGTCTTGAAATTTTATGGACAAGAGGGGTAACGTAGAGTTTTCTCTTATTGTACACCTTGGATTATTTTATTTGGTATATATACATGAAAGAAGGCTATATCTCATATAGGAAGCTGCACTCAGGAGTAGAGCAAAACAGATATATACTGATTTTTGTATAACCATTGTTGTCCATAAGCCCGTCAGAATGGAATATGAACCAATATTTTCCTAGTGTATATATGGACACGCAGTTCTTTTATACATTTATTAAATTTACCATTCATTATAAACATTCAAAATTCTCTTGACGCACCGTCCCCCATAATAAGTGGTACAAGTTTTAGCCTGAGTCGTGTATCTCTGAATTCACGCTTATACGAATCCTGCACAAAAAAAAAAAAACTGGGCCACGTCGCCCATTAGTCTTGCGACGGCCCTATTTGTTTTGCTGAAAAGCTAGGTTGAAAAATAATATTTGTTGATTTGTTGTGAGAGAAAACATTATACTATGGTTGATAAATCAAGCGAACAGGGCTGACATCCATCCGATCGCTGGATCGGTTCGGATCTCTGCTCGTTTTATCGCGAGGGAATTCCTTGTGAGCTATTATAAAATATCGTAATTCCTCAAGAGCCATTGAAAATTCAATTTTTTCCCCTCCATGCCACTTTTGTTACACTGAGCTCTAACGGTGTCAAACTATTGGTGTGAAAAAGTCAAAAATATCTTTAAGTCTAAATACGTCATTAATTTTTTATTACGAGCATCTTAATGATTTTAAATAAAAAAACTCAAAACTAAAAAGTTATAGATCTGGCCAAGATATGCAATGTTCATATAAAAATTATCTTCATTTAATTCTAAAAAAAAAAATACTCCTCTCCGTCCCAAAAGAAATATAATCTTGCATTTCAAATCTTATCTCAGAAAAAATGTAATCGTAAATATGAGGTTAACTTTTCTAATAGGACCTACATATTAAAATACAATTATTTTATTTATCCACGAAAAGAACATTCTAGAAGGCAATGATTATGTTTTAGTTTCTGATTGTGGGGACAATGATGGAGGAAGGGTAAATACATAATTTCACACCTACACTAATTTTACCTTAAAAATGAGATTTACGTTTTTTTTTAATAGAGGGAGTATTTTTTTAAGTGGCTCTCACATGCAATTGCGATGTTTTTTTTAATGGCTCACGAGGAATTCCCACGCGGTCCCGGAACCTCGCGAGTCGCGACTCTTCTCGGCTCGTCGGTCGTCCGCTCGCTCGGCGTTTCTCAATGCGTCGGCTGTCTGCTCGCTCGGCGTCAATGAGCAGGGCGGCAGCGCAGGTAACCGGCGCGGCCATGGTCTACCTGCGAGACAGGCGAGCTCTCCGGTGACCCCTCTCGACCCCTCTCTCTCCTTGCACTCGAGCTCCATCGGCCGGGCAACAATGCCCTCGCCATCTCCTCGTGCTCCGCCCGACCTCCATACCTGCCTGCTGCCATCTACTGCCTGAGTCCAGCCCTGAGCCACGGGCAGCAGCGATGCCCCCTTGGACCGTGGCCTAGTTCTGCTTCCTGTCCCGGTGTCCCCAATTCCCGCAGGGATCGCCTACAGAGCCTCTTTTCGATCCCTTTTCGCGGCTGTCCGCGGCAGGGCTGCCCCGCCGATGCCGCCCCACTGATGCCGCCGGACTGCCGGAGACACCACTGGTCGGTAGCCCCTGGACGCGGCCGTGAGCCGCGCCGCTGTGCCGCCTGCGAGGTATTCGAAAAAATTCCAACCCCAACTAACACGGTACGCCACAGTCCTTTAACATGCCATCCGACCTCAGGTAACTTAGGAGTATACCTTAACAAAATTTTGAATATATAAATATATATAATATTAAGGTATAGATATGTTCGAATCTGATCCACATACGAAGTTTTGGTTGTTGCTAGTATGATACCGATCGGTATCAGGTCTCAATTCCGAGTCGGATTATTGTGCTTGCGCTTGTATTCTGACTACTTATATACATGTGGACGCACAGGGCAGGGTTGAGCAGATTGAAGGCAGTCAGAATTAATAAGGACCGATATATGAACCAGCCTATCTCCAAACGGCAAACGACGCGGTCGGCGCCGGAGGTCGGCGGTGGCAGCATGATTCCAGATGAGGTGCTGCTGTTGGAGATCCTCGTGCGCCTTCCTGTGAAGTCCCTTGTGCGCTTGAAATCCGTCTACAAGGCGTGGTGCGCTACCATAGCCAGCGCTCATTTCATCGGCTTGCACTTGGAGCTTGCAAGAGCTACTAGCTCATCATCCATGATCATAGTTCCCCGGAAGTACCAGCCGGAACCGACGAAGCTGGCCTCTCGGTTCGTGCACATCTACAGCTTCCAGCCAGCAACACAGAGCAAGGTCGCCAAGCTCGTTTTGAAGAACAAGCCTCTTCCCAATGGCATCTCAGTATTCAGCATTCCCCTGCACTGCGATGGATTGGTTCTGATCCCCAGCGTCACAGGGCACATATTCGTGTGCAACCCGGCCACCAAGGAGTTTGTCGAGTTGCCGCCGGGCACCCGGAATGTGTCGTTGAACCAAAGGGTTGCCTTTGGCTTCGATCCTTCCAGTGGTACGTATAAGGTGGCTAGGCACTTCTTGCGCTCATACAGTGAAGGACAAATATATACACGACGTTGGACATGATGTCTTGACGTTTGGCGATGGCAGAGAGATGTTGGAATGGAAAGCCACCATTGATCCACCTTACCCTATCAATGCCAGGACTCCTATTTGCTTGCCAGGATTCTTCTATTGGAGTGCGGTCCAGTCTGTGGCTGACGCTGACCACGGCAACCTCGCCACAGATGTTATCCTTCTATTCAGCTTGCGTGATGATACGTTCACTGTGCACCCCAATCCTCCATGCAGGAGCTGCCTAAGTCCCAATGACCTTCTGTGTGAGCTAAGTGGCAAGCTGTGCTATGTCCACTCCCCCTCCCCGTGTGAAGTCTCCATTTGGTTAGCACAAGATGGACAAAACATAATAACATGGTCGCTATGTTGTCGTTTCAATCTGCCCATACCAAGGATTCTTCGTGTTTTTGCTTGTGCTTCAGCTGATCAAGACATAGTATTCCTCTCCGTGGATGCCCGACACCTTTTCAAGTGCAACCTCCATGATGGATCTCTTGAAACAGTAGTCAGTATGCCATATGGCTTGTCGTATGACCACGGGGAAGGGGTAAATTTCGTCCTTGGTTCACTCCCTTTTTCGCATTACATGGTGCCATATGTGGAATCTTTGCTGCGTATTGGACCATGCTAGCCAGCTGACTGTATGTTATCAATACCAATAAAAGAAAGGGTATGTTTGAATGCGTCTTGTATGTTATCTACAGATGTGGGTGTGTTCTAAGCTGTTTGTAACAAAATTACTATCCTCTTTTCTGACAAACAATATTACTATTATTAATTCATATGTGCTCTCTCTCTCTCTCTCTCTCTCTCTCTCTCTCTCTCAATGTTAACACGAGCAACGCTGTAGCACCTGATTTGCTGGATGTGTTGTCTGATGCGGAATCAGTAGTCCAAGTGGATGCCACTTTTGGAGTGGGATGTGCAACACCCCGAAAATCATGGAGTACATCATTCATTGTATGAAAAAATGTACTGTGTATATTTCAAAGACATAATTAGTCTGTACCATGTTATATATTCATGCTTTCTTATGCAGAGATCATCCTTCGCTCCGGGTTGTGGCTACGTGACTTTGAGTGTAGGGTCTACAACACCACAAAAATCATGGAGTGTACCTTTCTGAGTAAGAAACTACTGTTGTTGCTATGTTACAAAAATTGCATGATCTCTACCAGCAGTCATTCATGTTTACGCAATAATCTTGTTTCCATGCAGGGATCATCCAACACAGCAGAATGCGATGAGTCCTTAAAGCCAGCAGTTGGCATGACATTTGAGGATATTGAATCAGCCAGAGAGTTCTACAAAGCTCACAAAACACGTAATTTTAGGAAGTGATTGAGACTAATGATTGGGGGAGAAATTATGCCTCAGTATTACGTATCCTTTTCTTTATAATCTCACGAAGTATGATAATTGCCCAACAAGAACTAGCTCGGATGGTGCCTTTGTATAACTTTCTCCTTCTGAATGTTACTTAGCTAATATGCTTGATACTCTGATTCTGCTTTTGCTCCTAGCACTGTTACTGCTATTTTCTTAGACCTTATAATTCCATGTCACTTGCTAAGAAGCTTGCATATGATTCGATAAGCCAAGCTGGATAAGTAATATTCAGTGATCGCATAGATATGTTAAATGCTTGAGTTCATCGAGAAGAACAACAATACTCATAATTATGTTTAATCCAGTTCATAGTTATGCAGATACAAAAACAATATATACACACACATCATATAATCAGATATTACAAACATGACATAATTCACTTTATGTGCAGCCTGAATTTACTTATATAATCAAATTCGTTCATTTATCTAATTGATAAATATAACGCTCAATGCAATGCCAGTGCTTGTTTTATCTAATTGCATATATCCATCGTCTTATATAATCATTAGAGATCTTTTTTTCCTCTCTCTTTTCTTTTCTCACTGGTAACTACTTTCAACTGGTATGCACTGGAGGAAATCACGTTCTCAATTTTGAAGTGGTTTTGACTCCATCATCTGAAATTTTTTCTGTTCAATTCAATATTTACCAAAACCATGTCGTCATCAGCATACTTGCCAAGTTACCATAAATGAAACACCTGATTCTCTGTTAGTTTCAATATTCTAATTTACATAGAATGTATTTTATCTTATTGATGGCACGCTACTACTTTTGATTGCCATTGGATGAATGCCATTTAACGATTCACATTTAACCATGTCGTCATCACAGTCGTCGTCGTTGCGGTGATAGCACTGTTCTTGCTTCATCTCATAATAGAGAGCCTAATGCCTTGCCTCAAGGTTGTCCCATATATAGGTTGTTGTGGCCACTGAGTTAATTAGTTTTGGACCAACCCAACGGGATGATGGGGCTTGATTTGGCGATCAACATTATCTTCTTCTAGTAGTAGGGTGCGATTGTGACTTCGCCCTACACCTTGGTTGTCGCACGAAGTGGTTTGATGCACCGAGTCTTTTGAAAGCTCTAGTTTGATTTTGGTAACTGGGTAACAATTAGTGGACTAACAAGTGCTTAAGTGTTGTATAAGCTAGGTTATGTCCATACTCAAGTGTTGAGCTAGAAACCTACCAAGGAGGAGATGGTGAGATGGCCATAGAGATGATCAGGTGCTCAACATTGGAGAGAAGAGAAGAGAAAGGAGATGGAAGCAAGCCCGAATGCAAATACAATAAGCTAAGAGTTTCTATTTTGCTCGTAAAGTGCAATAGAGTGCATGATTGAGTTTATGATAGATAGCCAACATCTTTCAGCAAGTCCTTCTGCCACAGTTTGATGAGACTGTGACTAGTTAGCCACGGCCAAGACTGTTTGGATGCCTTGAAGTCCCATCTGTTATCGTCTTATGTTGTTGTCTGCCCATTTTTGTTTTGTTAGCCAACTGTGGAGTAGTATTTTATTCTAGGGTTTCTGCCCATTTTTGTTTTGTTAGCCAACTGTGGAGTAGTATTTTATTCTAGGGTTTGCCCATCTAAATCTAATGTTTTGTCAGGAGTGAGGAGTGTTTTGGGACGAAGGAAGCAATGGACATAGCCCTGCTATGTGATTGTTTCTAGTTGCTGTGGTAGTGTGGTAGACAAACTTGAATGGACTTTGGTAATTTTGTTGCTTTCAGTAATGAAATTTGGGCTCGCAATTATTGATGGGCAAATCTGTGGCTGACTTTTTTTTCTGTCATTTTATAATAGAAGAAATAATTCAACATATATATTTGGTACTGACAACGGCACGTGGGGCATTTCATCCCGGTAACATTTTCAAATTTCCATTTTTCCCTAAAAAAGACAACTGTGTTTGACATGTGGGACCAATTTGGAAGTGTACGGTCCTTATTCTTCTTCTTCTTCTTACTTAAGCATGTAGCTGCTTAACGTTGCACCCATAAACCTTACATAGGTGCCTTCACACAGTCCACACAAACAAGAAATAACAGTGAATGACTGAAATTTGCTGATCGTCCCTTGTTATTAGTTCGCTACTCTGCAGTTCTTGCGGATCTCCCCGTCGGAGCCCGTGAGCGGGATGTTCCCCATCTTGATCATGGACCAGACGAAATCGCAGAAGAAGTGCTCGCTGTCGTTGCTGTAGGTCTCCACCAAATCCTTTGTGGTGGCGACGCCTTCAGGGCTGGAGAAGAGGCCCTGGTCGGAGGACAGGAGGCCCTTCTCCGTCAGGAGGTTCTTGTAATAGTTGTTGTCGAACACGTAGGGGGAGGTGACGTCGAGCGCCGAGGTCTGGTTGCCGTCGCCGCCTGCGCAGAGGCTCTGGAGGCTATCGGCGAGGCTGGATTCCAGCGTCGGGTCGACTGAATCCGTGGTCGAGAAGTTGGACAGCCGTTTGCTGAACAGCACGCACCGGGCTCGCCCAATGGTGTGGGCTCCTGTTCATTTTCAAGTTCGGATCATGTGAGTTGTGCAGAATCAGATCACAATGAAGGAGCTTCATCTCTGCCTCCCCCCAAAAAAAGATGCATTTCTGGGCAACTCAACGAGACTGTTACCTGATAAGACCACGACATCGGTCGTGTTCAGGCCGACAGCGCCGAACTTCTGAATAATTGAATCGATGGGTTCGAACGGCGAAGGCAAACCGTTGTCAGCTCCAGACTGATTGGCCACCAGCCCGTCCTTTCTCCCCAGAAGAACATTATAATAGGGCCCTCCACTCTGAACAACAGCCGTCGCACGCAGTGTTAGCCTTTTGTCTGAAACAACTGAATATTCCGACAGACTGGACTGTAATACTAAGGGATAGAATAGAAGAATGAGCTTACAAAGAGTACTCCATAGCTGGCTGCAAGGGCTACAATGTCAGCGCATGACACCACCTCGGGGCAGACGCTCTCGAGATCAGCTTTTATCGCGTCGATGACCTCGTACCCTCTCACCGAGTTCAGGTTGGGTTTTGCAAACTTCTCGCCATCGGTGCCATCCAAAAGGATTGAAGCGTCACACCCCTGCATGCATGCATACACCATTTCAGTCACTTCGTAAAAAAAAAAATACTAGAAAAGAACATTACTAGAGATTGAGAGATGTATGACAGTTACATTGACAAAGCAATCATGGAAATGTAGCCTGAGGAGGGAGGCACCCATCCTCATCTCAGCTCTCATGGCAGCGAACACATGATGCTGCACAATATAGTACAGCTGAGGGCAAGTGTTGTGGTAGAAATTTGGTGCTAGCTGACACCTCGCACCCCGGCTACCGAGGCACAGCGCAAGAACCGAACATACAAGCACCCAACGGCAGTAAGAGTTCTCCATTTCTTTCTTACTCAGTTATTGCTTGTCTTGTGTCTTGTCTCCACACTATATTGGGCTCCTGCACACTCCACAGTTTCTTGCCTTGTTCTTATATATAGGCGGTAAAAAGTGATCCGTCACGGAATATACTACCTCGGGTAGGCTAATTCAGCACGATGGTGAGTGACCGGCGGCTGCACAACGTGCATGCAATGGTCTCCAATCTCCGGCGGCTAGAAAGTTTTTTTAAACAATGATTGGACTGCACACTCGGAAGATGGCAATTGGGCTATTGGAGCACTGGCAAGGGCTCTTTTGCTCCGTTTTCTGATTCTCAATGGTGAAGTCACTAGTGTGATGCATGACTGATGGTGCTGCACTTAGCATGCTTCCCAGTGCTTTTTGTCTCAAGTCCAAAGTGGTAGTGGGGAGTGGAGACCCAACCAGTGCAAGCATGTAATCTTCTTATTGTAAAATGCATGAAGTTTCGTGCAGGATTTGGATTTTGGAGATGACTGCCGCAGCCCACACAGGTGAGATGATAGTTGGTGTACTATTCAATTGTGTAGCAGCAATAGTGCCATGTTTGCATTGTGGGGAAGTTCATCTGGACTCTGCAAAAATGTTTCAGATGACGTTTCCTATAGTAGATATGCATAAGTGCTGTGAGTTGGATCTGCATTACCGGTTAATTGATGTACAGCGAACCACAATCGTGCGGCTCTTACCAATCTGTAATGCACTAGTCAAACAGAGAACAATTTAGTCTGTATGCCATCCTAGTGGATAAGCATTGCAGTGAGCTATAGGTCCAATCTGATTCACAGTACAACCAGGAATTCATACCACTAGCACGTCTATATGTTAATGGAAGAAAGAAAAACTGCACATCACATCACCTCTGTATAAGCAAAACGTGTATGCTAGTGCAAAATAAAATTCTACCGACTTCAACGAATAGTCATGTGAGTAGGAGATCATAGATCATTACCACTAAACACATAGTGCAGCAATAGAAGAGTTGGTGCAGCCCGATAACATCATGTGCATCGATGTAGAGAAAGTATACAGTCTTCCTCACATCCCAACAGCAGTTTTGCGTCCGTCTGCCTCATGTTAGCAAAAGCTATGTATTTAGAAAAGTCAAAACGTCTTATAATTTCGAATGGAGGGACTAGTTATCATATTGTTTATTACACATCTATATGTTAATGAATGAAAGAAAAACTACACAGCACACCAACTCTGTATAGGGGAATGGATATGCTAGAGCACGCCGTTCCTTCATCGTGTCTTGTAAATTTTGAAGTTTGGTTTGGCATGATTTGTGCACGTGTGAAGGGTGTCTCCAACAATGTTAAATTAAAGAGCTAGCCCAGGGGTGGCCAGCAGCCGGCTATGGCTGGCCGGACTCTACCAACGACATGGCCATGGCCCTCCGGGCAACGGCAGTGGCTGGCTGGAGTGCCTAGGGACGGCCACAAGTCGTCTAGGGCAAAGATGAATGAGTCAAGCGATGGATTACATCTTTCCTAGGGATGGCAGCGGTGAAGATCGGCTTCCTGGACATTGTGTAGTATATGACGCGAGGGAGAAGAAGCTTCCAAGTGGAAAAGATTGGGAGGTGGGATTGAGAATTGTTGGAGATATGTTTTTTTTAATCTTGCCAAAAATCAAGGATTATGAGAATGTTTTGAGTACTCCTGGAGATGCTCTTAGTCCTTACTTACATTCTAAACCGGTCTATGGCAGCAGCTCATGATAAATAATAGAGATATATCACCTATGAATAACTATCCTCATGGCATATACAACCGATATTGATTTTTCAGTTAAACTTTAATAATGGAAACAACCTATTATAAATATTTATTAAAAAAGTTTATTCTAAATATTAGGAGAAAAACTAATGTAACATAAATTCTCGCACAAATCAAGAGACTATCTAATCTAACTGTAACACAAATGTCAACTAGTTAAACTGAATCTAGAAACTACTTAATCTAAATGTAATTACTATCTAGATCTACTGTCTACATGACTATTATGAAAATCTAATACCTAGGTAAATACTAACTATATCTATGAACTAATATGCATGGTGGAATCTCTAACTCCTACCTTCTTTCTCCTCTCCTCTCTTCCACGTTTTTTTAATAAAACTGAATTTTGGCCAATTTTTTGGCCTTTTATAGGGTGGAGGGGACACAACAACAACATTCAAAGCCTCAAAGAAGACAGCTTACCCCAAGTTCATTCGATGATAAGTGCATGGGAGCGGCACTGACATATACCGTCTCTGCAATTTAGCCTCAACATCCATAGAATAAAAATGAAATAAAAAGCATCAGTGGAGCGCCTCAGTGGAGCAATATTTCCTCAATGAAATCCAATATGCTTGAAATGTGCAATAATGATCGATAATGCTTCAATCGACTTCAATTGGTTCTATGATAGGTGGATAACTTCCACCAGAGTGTTTTACACTCATACTGAGACACATGGTATCGGTTCAGACTTCCTATTGCCAAAGGTACACTAAAAGATGTGCAAAACTAGTACCCAGATAATGTGGGCTGATTTAGTGGATTTTTGCATGGCCCCATCCTACGGGCGGCTATATTTACCATCATTTTTACCGGTGGTGAAACACGTGGAGACATGATCACACTACATTTACTTCTTTATGACCACATGAGCTGGCAGTTGATAAAAACCACCGTTTGAAACACCCCTATACCGAGCGGGTTTTGAATAACACCTTGTCAAATGGCAGCATATGCCTTGATTCACAAAACTTACTACATTTTCATAAAAAAGGAAATAAAATGTAAATATTCCACTTTAGTACGGAAAGACTGAAAAAACAGATCAGGTAGGCCTGCTCGAGCAAGGCCTGTAGTTGCTAGGATTTTGGGCTTATGTTCCAAGTACGGCCCAGCTCAAAACTAGCCGCGGACTTGGATGGACAACTTGTCTTCTCCACGGCCCGAAGCCTCTCTCTCCTGCAGTTCTGCAGCTTCTGCTCCCCTGACTCCGCCATCAAAAACATCTCCAAAACCCCACTCCGCAATGAGACCCGCAGCAGCAGCAGCCACCGCTACCGCCGCCGCGCTCCGTCTCCGCGCCGCCTCTGCCTCCCTCTCGCCGCCTCTCGCCGCCGTCCTTCCTTACCGTAGAGCCTCCCTCATCCTTCCTCCGCTGCGCCGCCCCACGCCTCCGCCGCCCCCGATTCCCTGCCCCCGCCGCGGTTGCCCTCTCCCATCATGGACGCGCAGTTCGAGCTCTTCCGCGCGCAGCTCGACGAGTCTTCCACCCTCCGTGACCGCATCCGTGCCGTCGTCTCCGAGATCGAGTCCGCCTCCCGCGTCGCCACCGCCGCGCTCCTCCTCGTCCACCAGCCCGTCCCCCTCGCAGGTAAGTCCCCTTCTCCACCATTTCACTTCTTCTAGGGTTTAGCCACACCGTTGCGCCTAATCTCGTTGCTTACTCTGGAACTGTTTATCCCCTTCTCTCTTCACGCAGATGTGCTCGTGAAGGCCAAGGCGCAGGTGGAGGTGATCAAGGGGCTGTACGCGCAGCTGGCAGAGGTCCTCAAGGAGTGCCCTGGTCAGTACTACAGGTGAATTGTTTCATCCATATTGGCGCATCTATTTCCAGGTTGTTAGCAATCGGAAATGTGTCATGTCTCATGTGTTTGGAGGGTTGCGGCTTAGGTTCCATGGTGATTGGAGGACCGAGACACATATGGTAGTGTCGATGCTTGCGTTCACGCACTGGCTGGAGACTGGCGGCCTACTCATGCACGCTGAAGCCCAGGAGAAGCTAGGATGTATGTCAGGGCTCTGTCCATTGTTGCAGTAGATGCATTGTGGTAATTGGTAATTTAGTATAGCTTCTTACGGCATCTAAGTTTGTCTTTTTATCCTGTCTTTTTCAGTGTGCTCTGGGGAGTTTGGCCTTAATGTTGAGGACTACCTGACAGGTTAGTGTCTCTGTAAGTTTGTATACATCTTCACTGTGCTTTTGTACTTTGTAAAAAATTGATGCTAGCCAGTCTTGAGAGTGGTTTTGCACAAGAATTCTACATGGAAAAATTTTCATATCAATCTCCTCTGGATTCAAAGTTTCTGAAAATCCTGATGCATCTAGACATGTTTACCATGTTACCGCCATCAGTTACTTATTGCTTGAAATGCGAGAAGTACCGCACGATTGTCATACATCTCTGAACTCATTTGGTTTCTAGATTTATGACACCTACGTCTTGTAAAATTTTGTGTGCAAATATGCTGTGTACTTACTTGAGGACTTGCTTGTTTTGCAGGACTGTGCTTCATGTCCAATGAATTTGTAAGTTCATCAACTCATCAAAGAAAGCAATAGTTCTGGTGAATGGTGATTTTATTTTTTGTTAAAATAGCTCCTTTTCGGTTATGCGTATGACCGCCTGAAACAATAAAAACTTCAATGAGCCCCAGTGTTGGAACATACCACTGTTACAAAGAGGAATTGAGAAAATCTGAGGACTAGAACCAATTACGCCACGAGCCATTAATTAAATGCCATCATTTGGAACTCTTGAAATTATTTATGTGTACCTGTGGAGATCTTATTTAGAAAGATAAGTCCAAAGGATTAATTAATTATATGAATTCCACCTATGGTATTCAGGACTAATCATTTTAAATTTAAAATGTCAATCGTGCAGTAGAATTACAAAGCCATCAGGTAGGATTAAAAACTACTCTGTGATGTCGTTGCATGATTTCCATTTTATGTTCACTTGGGCTAGTTGCTGCATGCCAGTCGCCATACAATTTAAGCTCCATTTTACTTGTAGAGAGTTTGGAATTGTGATAATATTTTGTGTTTATACTAGGTAATGGCCTGTGCGTTGCTATGAGCATATGGAATTTCAAATTAAACATTTATTCTAAACAATTATCATACTAAGGCCATTTTATTTGCTTGTGCAATAAATAATCTGACCATTTCAACAACAACAACCAAGCCTTTTAGTCCCAAGCAAGTTGGGGTAGGCTAGAGTTGAAACCCAACATGAGCCCCTAGTCACGGTTCAGACACGTCAATAGCTGTTTTCCAAGCACTCCTATCCAAACAAAGATCTCTAGGTATATCCCAACCTTTCAAATCTCTTTTTATTGCCTCCCCCCATGTCAGCTTCGGTGTTCCTCTACCTCTCCTCACATTGATATTTCGACTTATGACTCCACAATGCACTGGTGCCTCTGAAGGTCTCCTTTGGACTTGGCCAAACCACTTCAACCGATGTTGGACAAGCTTAATCTGACCATTTCAAAACCTGATAAAATCAAATACCTTAAATTCATCCTAAAATTCAGGAGTAAATTTCGCTAGCGGTCCTTAAACTTATCCCAAGTTCTCATCGGGGTCTTAGTACTTGCAAATTGCATGTTCAGCTCCCTAAGGACGTGTTTGGTTCCATCAGAGCCCAGCCTGGCTCATATATAGGATGCATGCCCTAGCCAGCCCGGCCCCTGACCTGGTTGACCTCTTTGTTTGGTTGCCTGTTTCACTATATGGACAATGCATGTTTGGTTGTGGTGGATTGCATGTGAATTCAAAGAAGAACATACTAGATCAGTTTGTTTGGTTGGCTGTATACAGCATAGTCTGATTACCTTCTACATGAAATGGTGAGGATACCACCATCCCACCTCCAGGTCTATCATACGGATGCCAATTTACATTAAATTGCAGCACACATTTGCATCATGTTCCAAATTAAAATGGTGATGGCAATGACTTGAACTAAGATTATGGCATATTTACATGTGAAACCCCCTTGATCTTCCTGTTGATTTCTCCTACTCTATTTTTGTCCCGTGTCTTTTTCTTGATGATAGAAAGGTGCCCAAGCTTGTTCTCTTGTCCATGGAACATAGCATAATTGTCAAAAAGGCATGCATCATTGGCAATAGAGATGTGCTCATAATATCATAGCAAACAAGTAGGGAAAATGAACACATCATATGCAATGGAACAATGCTCAAGTACAACAGAATTAGCACTCATCATTTGCAATGGAGCTGTCAGCTGTGTACCCAGTGCAGAGAGCTCCCGCTCTATGCGGGGTCTAGGGAAGGGTGTCAGTGGCAAGCCTTACCCTCTGCATGTCAATGCGAGGAGACCGCGACTCGAACCCGGGACCTTTCGGTCACAGGCGGTAAGACTCTACCGCTTGCAATGGAGCTGTGCTCAGGTACAATAGAATTAGCAAGCTTGTTTATTGATCACATCTTAGGCAGTTGAGTTGTGCTCTGGAACAGCAGAAATAGCAGAGATGAAGACACTATTTGCAATGGTCATATGCATAGGGAGAGGAACTGCTTGAAAACTGAAAATGAGTAAGCAGCAAATGCATCACAACATAAAAGAAAGATCAGATATATGATCCAACCATTACCTCAGTAAAAAAGCATACAGAACATGTGGCCATTCCATCTATAAAACAGAAAGAATGGAACATGACCACCTCCTCAGTAGAAAAAAAGAAAGACATAACAAAATCATAATTGCACAATCACATTGCCTCATTTTACAAAACAGTAATATAGGAACATATCATCATTGCACAACTCCATTGCGTCAGTTTAAAAAAAACAGTAATATGTGAATATGGTCATTGCACAACATCATTGGATCAGTTCAAAAACAGGAATATAGGATCATATTAGAATGCATACAGGGAGGGAAATGGGGAAAACAGTCTTAGTTACTGTGAGATCTCAAACAACTGACGGGATTGTGCGGAGCGAAGCAGATCCACACATGAGAAAACTGAATTAGTACCAAATTACCTATAGGAAACAAGAACAAATCTTCCTAGAGATAAGGAATTGCCTTTTTACCTCCAAACAAAGTAGCAGCACGAATTGAATCCTACAAATGAGAAACTGTCAGGGCTCGCAAAAATCACATTTGGAAAACAAAGAAATATTAGATCTACAGATGAATCATGGATACCTGCTCTGTGTGCCACGAACCAGTGACAAATCGAGCCCAATTTGCCCAATTTTTGTTTTCTATTTTTTTATGAAAATTGAATTGAGCCCAATTTTCTTTTGGAAGATTGTTGTTCTTTCCCCTGTTTGGATGGCCAATTGTGTTTTTACTCCTTTTTCAACTTTGTGATTTTACCCTTGTTTTTGGAATCCAAAGCCACCGTTTGAGCCTGTTATAGACTCTGTTAGCCGAAGGCTGGATAAATGAATGAAAGAAAAAGAAGAAAAATAAAAAAAGGCGACACTAACCCCTGACCTTATCCTAACCCTCCCGACTTCCGCTGATGGTTGACTAAGCATGTGCGACTTGTTAAACTTTACTTAAATTTGAAATATTTGCAAATGTTGGTGTATTTTTTTTCAGAAACGCCGTCCAAATATTTGATGTCAAAATAGAGGATAAAATTACGGAGTACTAAAAAACCTTGGGGCAAATTCACACGGAAAACTAGTATTTTTTAGCTGAACCGACACTGTTAACTCCTCTTAATGGAACATAGGTAAACTCTGCCTTCATTTTTGAAAAAAGTAAGGGCAAAACCACAAAGTTAAATAAACAAGAGCAAAATCACAATTAGACTTGAAAACAGAGGTAAGAAGAGAAGAGTCCTGTTCTTTTTTGCTTTTCTGATTTGTCCCCTGGAACTTCTTCCATGTGCTATATTCTTACTGACCAATATGACTCATGATTCATGAACCTGGTTGACTTGGGTCGTTGACCCAGATTAATTGGGGTCAGCATTCCAAAATAGCCACCCCTCACCCACACATCAATATTCTAGACACGTGCGACCCTGACCCCTTACCTGGTTGACCCAGATTTCTTGTGATTGTATTTGATGCCTTTAAATCTTGAACACAACTTTAAACTTATTAATAGTAATAGAGCACACAGCTCTTCCTTTGACATGGAAGTGTATTTTCATAAATGAATATATTTGATTAAATCTCGTGGCAATCATTGCAAGCTAGTCCAATGGTTGACACTTGCACATTTCAGCAGTAGTTAGGAAAAAAAAAGGTTATGCTTAGAGGAAATAATTCCTTCAAAAAACTTAAATGGTTTGATGTTTTGCTTCCTTTTACAGCCCCTTCCTAGTATGACTGGATTGGTCATAGTCGTAGGGCTGAAATACATTCTCTGAGCTTCTATTTCTTTTGGAATTAATTGATATGCTCCCTAAATTTTGTTCAGTTTGTTCACTCAAGTTGATTCTTCCATTTCATCATTTATTTTACATTATTGCATTTCTCCAAAAAAAGGGAATAAATGCATGATTTCATATGCTAACTTCACTTTAAATACTAAATCAATTTGTACTGCTAATATGCCAATTGGAAACAAAAAAACAAGTGGGTTGAGGGATCATGCATTCATGCTCAACATGTACTGTTTATTGAGATGAATTTAAGATTTTTGTGTGAGCTCAGGACTAATCCATTTTATTCTTTCCCATTGTTGTCTAGTATGTTCAACCCATTTTCTTTGCACGGTTAAAAGAACAAAACATCCTAGTTGATTCATGACATCAAGGGAAACAAATAAATTAGAATCATATAGCACCTCTTCCTTCCATAGTTTCTTAATACCTTGTTAGAGGCACCTGGGCTGATGTGCTGTCCCTAGTGTACTTTAGGTGAAGGAAAAACTGTCAATCATGGTTAGCATCAAACTTTACATGACACCACCTGCATTTCATACTGGATAGAGATATTTTGTGGTTATTGCATGGATGGATGTGTAGAAAAAGTTGTAATTATCACAAGCCAAGAACTGGAATTAATGGCTGTGATGATTTTGTTTTGCAGCCTAGATTTGTAGTAAATCGCGTCACTGCTGGCGACTACGACTGTCCTAAAAGGGTTTTGGGCTTCTTGACCGATCTTCATGCTTCCTTTAGGATGCTGAACCTGCGCAATGACTTCTTGCGTAAGAAATTTGATGGTGAGTTTATCTGTTATCAACTTGTTTAAGCTGTTAATTGAAAACAAGGCCTGATCTATTGTTGTATATTAATGCTATGCTCATGGTTATGCCTCCTCTCTGTTAATCATTTTGCAGGGATGAAGTATGATTTGAGGAGGGTGGAAGAGGTCTATTATGATGTGAAGATCCGAGGACTTGTACCTGCGGAGTTGAAACAAGAGACTCAATCGTAGAATCCTTGGTAATGTTAACATACTTTGTGGTTTGGCTTTTGCCATCCATAACGTGTTCATCTAGCTAAAATGCCAAAAATTTCTGTTTTAGAGCGTATGTGTTATGGACTGGACTGGTGTTTTGGGGGCAATCGCATGACCTTGCTCATTTCTTTTGCTGTGGTGCCACATGTTCATGCATTTGACCTCGGAATGTACATTGAGTTAGGTTTCGTGAACTCTGGAGAGAATAATTTAATGTCTCACCTTGCCTTTCACAAATCTTGATGCTTGTCTAATGGTAATATACATGTTTGGATTTTCATTGGGATTTGTGGTTTGTAGGCAAGGCAATGATAGGTGTGTTTGGTTTGAGGAATGGAACGGTTCATCATTGTTTCAAGCTCTTTTTTAGTTTTAGTGCAGACAGAACGGGTTGATTCTTCATCAACTCATCATATGCGCTAAGAACTAGTACGAGGAATGAGATGATTTTACCAAAACTGATAGGAACTTATGATGATGTGCACCATCTCATCTAGGATGAGTGGATTCTCAAACCAAATATCCTATTCCGTTGTATGATGCTGATGTGCACAAGAGCACATAAGCTAGCGGATTCTATTCCGTTGTATGATGCCGATGTGCACAAGAGCACATAAGCTAGCGGGAAATCAAGTTCCGAGTCAGCCTGTTGGCTGGGAGTGGGATGCATTTATAAATTTGCAGTGGTCAATATTACTGTGCTTGCCACCGTAAGCAAGATGTTCTGTTCTTGCAGGGGTAAACACAGGACGGTATTGACGATAGGAAAACCAGTGTGTAAGATCCCTGAACCTGACTTGGAATTAGCTTAAAAACGCATCTACAAGTTTTCTAGACATTGCCCGTAGACAGTCTGCACTCTGCAGTCCATGGTGTCCACCAGCAAGCTGATCTGGTCCAAAGAAGCGTCGATCTGATCCCAAGATGAACAAGGCGGAATCAGCGTCCCGAATCCTTCGTATCGGCTGATGTTGGCCAGAATTAGCTCGCTTGAACGTATTAGCCTAGCTTATCAGTCATTGAACAGTGTTTTTTCTCTCATAACAAATCAGCTTCAGCTGGTTTATAAGTCGCAGAAACCATCAGCCGAGACGCTATCGCTTAGAAGCCGAGACGCTATCGCTTAGAAAGGTAGTCTCATAAAGAGTGCATCGCTTACTAGCTATCTGGACATTTGTCCTCTCTGTCCGCGAAAACAGCCGCAAATCCTCCCGTATATCCGTGAAAACAGCCGCTGCCGCTGCATGCTGTGGCTGTGCTCTTCTTCTATTTTGTACTGTGGATTCCTGCAGCGGCAGCCGCTGAAAAGGGCAGCCGAGGCTTACTGCTTTAGCCGGTTACCCCCCACAGCCAGAGGCTCAGACTGGTAGCGTCCCGAATGCAATGTTGGGTCATTGGTAATTCAGTAGGCCGTCCACGCCAGTCCAACTACTGGCTCTAAAAGAAAAAGGTGGAAGCGGTGGCCGGTGTGACCTCGTCCATTCGAGTGAGTTAGTCTTATCCATTATTCACCGAGCCAGGAGGTTGGCACGATTCTACTAAAAAAGAAGGCGGGCGAGATGCCGACTCAGCTCACTGGAGTTCGTAGTTGCTGTGGCGAATCAAAGATTCGGTGGCGGTGGCGTAGGGTCAGCGATGCAGCCACAGAGGCAACGACATCCACCTCGCGCACGGCAACGCATCTCCGTTCCCCAGGCCGCGACATCATGGATCTAGCGGCCGCCCTCAGGCAACCACTGCGCTTTCGGTGTTCGGCTGCTGGTTTACGCCCCTTCTGCGCTCTTGTAGCTCGCATCTGGTTGCTGGTTTACGCCCCTTCTGCGCTCTTGTAGCTCGCATCTCTGACGACCACTGCGCTTTCCGCATTCGGCTGCCGGCTGTCGCTGCGCAAGCAAGGCGACGACGGCTCTGAGGCCCGCACGCGTGGGAGGAATCGGTGGCTCCGGAGGCCCGTGTGCGAGCGGGGCGAGTGACGCATGTTCCCCGGCGAGCTCTACACCGGTGAACTCTACGCGCCGATGAGCCTCCATTTCAAACAGAAATATTGCGCTGAAAGCGTCTGTTGCAGGCTTATGTTTCAAGTGTTTCAGAGTTTTAGAGGTATATTGCAAGTGTTTCATGTGGATATTGCAAAAGTAGATCAGGATGTTGCACAAGTTGTAATAGTTGTACACGTATGTTGCAAGCTTCTATTCCCAATGTTTTATTTATGTTTTTTTCCAGACATATGTTACAAGTGTGTCTATTTGGATGTGACATATGTTTTATACATATGTTGCAAGTGTTTTATCTAGATGTTGCGTATGTTTTACAATGGTTTTCAAATGTTTTTCATGTGTTTTTTCAAGTGTTTCAAATGCATGTTTCAAGTGTTTTATTCGTCTTCATACGTATGTTGTAATTGTTGTATCCGGATGTTTTAAAAGTACATTGAGTGTTGCATCTCCTTCGTCGCTTTCTGCTGCCTTCCTCGGCGTCTTCTCTTTCTAGTGCCGACTAGACATCCGTCTTTTTCTCGATGCTGGTGACGTTCGGAGCGGCATGAGTCCTACGTGGACGATGGCTGTAGACGCAGACGTCGAGACACGGAACCCGCTGCTGCAGACGTGGGCGCCCGGACGTCCGGCGCTAACAAGGCCTTGGTTCATGCATGGAATGTTTGTCCGAAGACCATGCCCTCATAGGCTCAGACTGGTAGCTCTACAAAGGGTGTCGTGTTGCTGCTTTAGGCCACGGCCCACTAGCTACTCTCTAAACTGTGCACCCTGTTTCATGGACCACCATCAATCTCAGAATGTGCTCTATTATAAATCCTAGAACCTACTACATAATTCCTTGCTCCATTCATCATCTATTTTTGTTTGCAGGTACTAATTCTTTTGGAACAAATTAAATGCTCATCATCATCATCATTGCTCCACCAAATTTGGCGGCATCAGCCTGTGTAATACACAATGTGTGCTAGCAAATCAACATCAAAATTAGCGGCATGTTTGTTTCGGCTGGATTGCTCGTATCTAGCTTGTAATCCATAGTTTGAACAATATTTTTCTCTCATATCAAACCAGCCAGCAGTACTTTCAGCCATGGTTTATAAGCCAATCCAGCCGAAATGAACAGGCTGTAGTTATATCTCATGTCAGCCATGATTTGCACCCACCTACGCCCTGCGCCTTGTCCGACATCCGTGTGCCACACTACTACAGTAAACATTTATAGGGGCGGCTGAAGATCGTTTGTAGAGGCGGCTCAGCTAGCCGCCTATACCACACCGTCTCTACAAATCATGCATTTGTAGGGGCGGTTTCAACCGCCCCTACAATCGATTCATAGGGCGGCTCTGCATCTCAACCGCCCCTACAAAGATATATTTTTCAAAAAAATTTAAATTCGACTGAACATATATTTGAGACTTTGAGACATTTTAAAGATCGAAATCTCACATCCTCTGAAAAAATTATAAAAGATCGAAATCCACATGTCCTCCACAACTTCAAAAATTCATTCAGTCTTAACGGCACGTCAACCGCAGTGTGAAAAGACGAAAATTTTAAGTTCAAATATGTTATTCCGTTTTTGAGCAGGCTCTATTTCATATAAATTTATTTTCATTTAATTTGTGAAAAATATGATTTGATATGATTAATATATCTTAGAAAAATCATCATATTTTTTTACGGAATTAAATGAAAATAATTTTATATGAAAATTATAGATCTCGACGAGATCTACAATTTTCTAGTTTTAAATTTTTTTTCATTTGAAGTCGTTAAGATGCTCAAAAAAAATTAATAACATATTTGAACTTAAGGGCATTTTCGAATTTTTTCACACTGCAGTTTGACGACAGTTAGAGCCTCGAATCGACGGAAGTGGCATGGAGGACCCGAAAAAGTTGGAGTAGTGGCACTGAAGACCGCTGAATTTTTCCAGGGACACACAGGGGATTTCGATCTTTTATAATGGCACATAGGGAAAAGTCTCCATATATTTTTCATGCACAACTCCATCATGACTTATCTTCTGCGATTATACTGAAACTCAATGACAATACATATTTATTTATACCAGATTATAACAAATATTCTATGACAATACACGGTGCAAATTATTGTGCTTGCTATTCATTTAAACTATGAGACTGCACATAGGTATATGAAAAGTAATGTGAAAACCAATCTTCGCTCGATGCAAGTAACACAAGAGAGAACAAGACACACCGCAGCAATTGATGGTATATTTGCTCGACCTGGAGAACCATGTGAAACATCCATGCCAAGAATTAATGTTGGAAAAAAACTTCAGAGGCTGTCTGAGAGCGTGTGCAAATCACAGTTACCAGAGGTGGTGTAGTTTGGCCTCGAAGCATCCAGACCAGATGCAACCAGCGACCGCAGCATCAGTTTGGCAATTGTTTTTTGTTGGTTACACCTTGAGAAAACCAGAGTTAGAAAACCTCACAGCATAAAATAAAAACAAAAGATCTGACAATTGTTTAAATTACAGGTTTATAATGATCTTCAAGATGAATGTTAGCTGTAACACCCCGGTGTTATGCCAGCATTTAGGCACTGCAAATCATGCATAACATGCATCATAAAGCATCCTAATCATACATGCCTAATCATATAAATAACAATTGAAACACTACTTCGAAACATACAAAACATGTTGTGTAACCTGAATGTTGAATACACCTGTTTAAGAGTTGTTTTGCCCTGATTTTGCTTGCTAGGTTAGTAGAACTTGTTTGGTTATGATTGTAAATCATCTAGAATTATTTAGCACAATTTTTGGAGCAAAGTTTGTATTCCAACTTTTGACAAAATATGCTTTTGAAATTATTATGGGAAAAGGGTCAAAAAAAACCCTCTCTATTTAGCTTTTGCTTCCCAATTCAAAATCTATGCAAAATTTTTAGTTGGTCCCTAAAGCAAAGTTGTAGAGTACTAAATTCTAAGCAACTTTTATTTTTG